TCTTGCATTATTTAGAAAAGCCATGTACTGTCTTTGGGCTTCAGGTTTCCTGTCTGCATTCAATAACCCCCAAGCTGAAACAATTTTAAGTTGGTCTGTACCAATTGTGTAGTATTCTTGCAAGTCTTCACCTTCCTTCTCTCCTAACCCCATTGACCTCCCAGACTGACTACCCAGAATGCATGGAAGGAGGAAGGGTGGTTTTACCTAAGGCCCTTTCTCCATACAATCCTGAATTCCAGTAGGACAGGAAATGCGAGGGTTTGATTAGAAATGTTCAAACTCCACAATCAGGTTGTGGAAGCTAAATTACCCTGGTGAAAGTCACCGAGAACCAAGCACATGGCAGGCAGCAGGATCCCCACCTTTCCAGCTTTGTCCACGGGGCACATATTCTACTAGGAACATGGTCTAGAAAGCATGTCTCTGCACAGAAAGACCCCAGGGGATTCCAAAATGCCTGAATGCCTCTACCAACATTCTGAAAAACCAAGAATTTATTTATTTATTTATTTATTTATTTATAAGAGATTTTTGCCATAGGGCTCCTGCGCTTGCCCCGGGAGACAGAGACACAGTGAGGGAGAAAGCATCCCCCAGGGGGGATGGCCACACCACAATCCCTTCACCTCCGTTCTCCTCCCAGGATCTTGGTCATACATGCATTTGCGCCCGGTATGAGTTTCAAGCCACCAGGTCTAGGACTCTACTGCAGTCAGCCACGTGGGAGTCCAGTGAGGTAACCACTGTGCCATCTGCTGGCCCCCAAGGATTTGTTTTTAACCTGTCTTTTCTGATTAAGATAGAAATGAAATAACTAATATGAATAACCAACAAACTTATGGATTCCAGTTTATTCCCCTGGGGCTTGGAGCTGGGGTACATCGAACCCACAAGCTTGTATGGAATTCTGCTGTGCCAAGCCACATCCTAGCCCAGTCTAGAAAGAACAGCTATCACTCAACACCCCCTCCCGTCCTCATCTCCAGTCCTTCTCTGGAAGACCTCTGCTGACACGAACCTCAAACTGTACATGGACTTCTCATTCACAGAGGGGCCTCAAGAGCCTTGTTTTATTCATATTCACTCATCTGACTCACCTAATGCATACTAGAAAAATGAACCAGACAGCTAAGTCCCTCTCTCCAAAGGCCTTCCACAGTTAGGTCAGAGGTGTATATACAACAAGTACATCGATGAGAGCTGGCTATACGGTGAGCAGCCACTCACCGGAGGTGCAATGTTACAGCCAAGTACAGAAGATCCCCCATCCCCGCCTCCACTCAACCCAGCAGGAGTCCTAGCCAAGATCCTGATGGAGGAGACAGCTCTCGCTCTCGCCACCCCCTTGGCATCCTTTCCTAAAGTCACGTGGCCTCGGCGACTGCAGCGGTGTCCGTCTCAGTGTTGGCCTTCCCTATGCCCCTAGGCTTTCTAATAGCCTGTAGGAATTTGGCCAGCAGCTGGGCTGAGTTGTTATGGGAGAGCAGGACATTTTTCTCATTTCTGGGGATACTTTTGGTTCTTACCACTAAGAGATAGAACTAGCTTCGAGGAGTTACTCACGCGCTGTAAAGCTTTCAGGCACAAGCCGTCACCCCAGAACAAGGCATTCTCCTGCTCAGAATGTCAGGAGTGCTGGGGCTGAGAACCTTGACCTGAGGGCTGGCCATGTGCCATTTGGATTCTTAAATTCCCCAACCCCGGGGTCCTGGATCTGAGGACCTGCGGTTGAGTGAAAGAGTTGTTTAGAAGAGTCGGATTTGGGCTAAAGATGGGCTTTTCCTCACAGTCATCTACTCCCAGGGACAGAAAATATTTGAGAGGCGGAAGCAGACACACAGTGGTCAACAGGGTACTGGGAGCCTAAGAAACCCAGCCTTGGAAAGGAAAGCAAGACATGGCCTTCCATTGCCTTTTCCACTTCCTCTCTCTTGGAATAGGGGCTCCCTTAATCCCCTCCTCCTGGCAATGCTATTTTAGGACAATTCTCCTTCTCACCACCCCACCCCGATTCCAGGGTGCCCACCCCCAGGAGCCAAAGAACACCAAGTTTTGTTGAAGATTTCTTACTCTTTCTCTCCTTCGGGAACCCTCTCCTCCCCCAGGAAACAAGGTATGGGACATAACCCCCCATCTAGTAAATCCTCTATCATTAGATTTCCAGAGACTGCTCAGCTTTCTCAGGTGCAGGGACTAAAATAGTCTAAGCGGCTGCTATCCTGGAGCCTGGGGACCCACCGGAGCCCCAGCAGCATGCTGTTGTCACAGAGCTACCAGGCGAGGGTTCCACTCAGGGCGTTTCCGCCAGTTAGCACCCCCTTTGACTAGGGTTGGGAGAGCTGGGGATGAGGGAGATGGGTTCTCCATTCTCATTACAGCGCGGCTCGGCCCCGTAACTTACTCCACCGCGGGTCCCTGGACATTCCCAGACCCGAAGTCCCAAGTCCATCCATCTGAAATGGCACAGTGCCAGCTCCAGTACCAAGCCTGAAGGTCCCTGCTCTCTGCTGGGCCATCCAAACAGCCTTCCCACTGCTGCAGACTGGAAGGTGAAGTGAGGCGCCCAGTCCCCCACTGGCTCAGGAAAACAAGGAACCCAGAAGATGAGGGGACACGTCTCTCAGCCTTCTCCCTATTTAGTGGCCTTCGGAGGGGCAAGTGTTGACTCTTACTCCAGCCTCCCCAAATTGGGGAAGCTATCCATTCTATCTCCAGGCCAGGAGAGATTTTCATCTCTTTGTGATCAGATAAATGAGAGAGTGGGGAGGCTTGCCACCCTGCTGCGGAGGGCCATTCAAAGCTGGTTCCTGTAATAAAGTGATTTAATAGATCTAAAGAGGCCAATTCCCTTCTTTCTCCCACAATTACTTCCTGTGGGTTATCATTCACATATGTAAATGAGACCAGGAGGGGGAGAAAGCCACCAGCCAGAAATGAGCTGTCTGATGAGGGGTTCAGGACTCGAGAAGGGGGTAGCTAGGCAGCTGGCCGCAGGTCCTCTTGGATGGGCAGAGGGATAGGCTGCCTAGGAGCCCCAAACTGTAACCGGTGGGTCCCCATCGCCCCGAGGCCCCTAGCTCTAGTACTCCCTCACACTCAGCCTCCTGGCCAAGGGCTGTGCTCAGAGACTTCCCTGCAGCCTCCACGGTCCGCCCAGCACCTCGTCCCCACCCCTCCCCCTCCAGAATGCCATCCCTCAGGCTCCGACCCTTAATCCCCACATCCTCCTTTCCCCTCCCCCACAGCTCCAAAAGCCAACCTCCCTGAAGTAACCCCTCCCTGCCCGGCCTGGGTGTCAACCTAAGGGCCCGGGACTATCTCTCCGCTCTCCGTATTCTTCCCCTAAACTCCAAAGGTGCCCGGGACGCGGGCAGCAACTCCTTCACATGGCCGTCATGGGTAGCTGGTGGCCCGGGGTCACCAGGATGCCTCCAGGATACTCAGGAAAGGGAAGCTTAAGAGGAGGAAGACCTCAAGTGTCTGGCTCTTCGTTTGAGGCCAGGAATGTTAGGACCGCAAACAGGGGCTGTCTGGGGCCATAAATGCCAGGGCGAGGAGACCAGGCCCAGAGGCCAGCTTGCCTCCACCCCTGCCCCGCCACACTGAACGTCACCCCCCACCGTGCTGCCCCGCTTTAACTGAGAACTTGGGGTTGCATCCAACCCAGCACCCTCCCAGCCAGGCAGGAATGACAGACCTTGG